TATATTGTGTATGTTTAATGAATGAATGTTGCCAAGCCTTTCTTTAAAAACAAAACAAGCTCTCTTGGGTTTTGACGTTTCTAACAAGTATTTCAAAAATGTACAGAAACTGTTTGATATCTGAGGCTCTAACCTCGGCTGAGATCAAAGGGAATAAGAAGAGATTTGAAAACCTCTCGAATACAAATTTCTAAAGTTTTTAATTTCTAAATTCAGAGGGAATTTATTCGACATTTTTTTCAGAGAGAAATTCCCATAAAACCCCGAGACTGACTCTGACCCTTAAATAGAACTAATTCAACTATATAACTAGAACTATCCTGAGCTGAAAACTTTAGAATGGATAAACTTTAATCCTGACTTCTTAATCCGAATATCCACTGTGGAAACTTTTCATTTTAGTCCTTAGTCCTTAATCCACTCTTTTTCTCTCTCCTTGGATATCCGTTAATTGTTTTCTCCAATGAGAATATTTCTGTTCTCTCATTGGTTGCCCGCTTCTCTCTGATTGGCTGCTACAGTTTCTCAGATGATAAATATTAATTTGAATTTTATCGTTTTTCATACACATTTAAGATAATCTTGCAAGATTATGTTAATCTGGAGATTAAGAAAAAGAGTGGATTAAGCCTTAATCCCGATATCCACCATTCAAAAGTTCCCAGCTCTGTTCTCCTAAACTATGGATACCCCTGCGCATTTCTCCTGAACTATGGATAGACCTGAATCCCCCTTGTCTATTTCTCCTGAACTATGGATAGAGCTGAATGCCTTGTCTATTTCTCCTGAACTATGGATAGAGCTGAATCCATTGTCTATTTCTCCTGAACTATGGATAGAGCTCAATCCTCCTGTTATTTTCTCCTGAACTATGGATAGAGCTGAATCCCCTGTCTATTTCTCATGAAATCTTGAACCGTGGAAATACTGAAATAACTAAATCCTCTTTTCCAGGAACTATGGATAGAACTGAATAAAATGAATCCTCCCAACTATATCTCCTGAACTATGGATAGAACTGAATCCCCCCAACTAAATCTCCTAGACTATGAATAGAACTGAATTAACTGAATCCCCCAACTATATCTCCTAAACTATGGATAGAACTGAATCAACTGAATCCCTCGACTATATCTCCTAAACTATAGATAGAACTGAATCAAGTGAATCCCTCGACTATATCTTCTAAACTATGAATAGAACTGAATTAACTGAATCCCCCAACTATATCTCCTAAACTATGGATAGAACTGAATCAACTGAATCTCTTGACTATATCTCCTAAACTATGGGTAGAACTGAATCAACTAAATCCCCCTGACTATATCTCCTAAACTATGGATAGAACTGAATCAACTGAATCCCCCCAACTATATCTCCTAAACTATGGGTAGAACTGAATCAACTGAATCCCTCGACTAAATCTCCTAAACTATGGATAGAACTGAATCAACTGAATCCCTCGACTATATCTCCTAAACTATGGATAGAACTGAATCAACTGAATCCCTCGACTATATCTCCTAAACTATGGGTAGAACTGAATCAACTGAATCCCCCGACTATATCTCCTAAACTATGGGTAGAACTGAATCAACTGAATCCCCCGACTATATCTCCTAAACTATGGATAGAACTGAATCAACTGAATCCCTCGACTATATCTCCTAAACTATGGATAGAACTGAATCAACTGAATCCCCCTGAATATATCTCCTAAACTATGGATAGAACTGAATCAACTGAATCCCCCAACTATATCTCCTAAACTATGGATAGAACTGAATCAACTGAATCCCTCGACTAAATCTCCTAAACTCCTATAAACTCCTCTACAGCGTCCTCTCTCAAATCTCTGACAGCTTTCACCGTGCTCTCCGGATTAATATTATTCGATCTATCGTCTCCGTTCTCCGCACTCAATACTTATACCGGAGCAATTCACAGATTCAAAACTTTGAAATCTGATTCTTTGAAATTTATGAATAGTGAGATGTAGTTTAAACTAGATATGGCTAGTTCAACTGTCTGTCTAAAATATTGTCTATGGATTGTTTCAAACCTTTTTAGGATTTTGTCAGTTTACAATCATTATCTTTAACGTTGAAAAAGGAATTTTTCCAATTCTGCAAATTTTTTTTATTATTTTTCGAGGAATTCTTTCTTTAATTGACGAGTAAGGAATGTTGAAAACTTGAATGAATGGAAAATATGTTTATTTAATCTCCTGTGAGAGGAGGAAATTAGAAGCTTTTTTGTTTACTTTCTCGAGTTCGGACAAGGATTTCTTATTTTATTTTAACATTCAATTTCTGGAATTCACAAATTTAAAAAATCTGTTTACGACTGGAAGTGTCATATTTCAGGTCGATTTATGTGATTCAGATAATTCTTTGTTGGATATTTTAAGAATTTTTCTTTGATTTTAAATTCTTTGATTTTAAATTCCAGAATTCCGGATTTTTAAATTCTACACATTGTACTGAGTCTAAAATTCATAAGCCACAGATTCTTTTATTCCAGGCTATGGACTGGGTTTATGTGCAGGGTCCTGGATCATAAATCCTTGAGTCCTAAATTCTTAAATTTTGTAAAAAAGTCCTAAATCATTCTAGTTCATTCAATTTTATGGACTGAGCTCTTGAGTCATAATTCTTGTGTCCCAGATCCTAGATTCTTAAAATCTATAGAATGAGTCCTGAGACCATATTATAGCGAGATATGGTGGAACAGTGTTTTAGCCACTGTTGTTCAGCTGGAACTGGCGCACAAGAAAGGTGATTGAACTACGTCTGCGCGGTTCAGCTTTTTTCGCTATTCTATAGAGCCTGAATACAATCTATTCATAAATAGACTGAATACTTGAGGTCATATATTCTAAGTCATACATTTTTTTAATATAGACTATTGATTAGTGGTTATTAATTAATTTTTTTTTTGTCTTATCAGTGATCATTAATCAATTCTCTTGTCTAATCAGTTATCTTAATTCTCTTGTCTAATCAGTGATCATTTATTGATTCTCTTGTCTAATCAGTGATCATTAATTAATTCTCTTGTCGTATCAGAGATCATTAATTAATTCTCTTGTCTAATCAGTGATCATTAATCAATTCTCTTGTCGTATCAGAGATCATTAATCAATTCTCTTGTCAAATCAGTGATCATTAATTAGTTCTCTTGTCCTATCAGTGATTCTCTTGTCTAAGCAGTCAAATTAGTTTTTTGATTAATTTTTTGATCATTAATCAATTCTCTTGTCGTATCAGAGATCATTAATCAATTCTCTTGTCTAATCAGTGATCATTAATCAATTCTCTTGTCAAATCAGTGATCATTAATCAATTCTCTTGTCAAATCAGTGATCATTAATTAGTTCTCTTGTCCTATCAGTGATTCTCTTGTCTAAGCAGTCAAATTAGTTTTTTGATTAATTTTTTTTGATTAATTACTTTTGGTAGACCAGTGATCATTAATCAATTCTCTTGTGCGATAAGTGATCTAGGATCATTTTTTTATTAGTGATCATTTTCCAACCCTCTTAATTGATCATTGATCAGAGAATTACAGGCGGTACTGAAACAGAATGAGAAAGTAGCAGGACAAATAATACTGTTATCTCAAAAATACTTTCATTGTCAAGGTTAAGCGGAACTTTGTTCGGTGAGTCATTGACAGTGTGTAGCATAAAAATTGTATAAGAAGGGTGTGGGAGGGGGTTATTGACAGTGTGTAGCATGGAAATTGTATAAAAAGGGTGGGGAGAGGGTTATTGACAGTGTGTAGCATAGAAATTGTATAAAAAGGGTGGGGGAGGGAGTCGGGTAAAAACTTTGATTTATTTTATTATCTACTCATAATCTTTCAGAAACAGCTTATAATTGCTTCTTTTAAACATTTTTTTTGTAAAAAATATTGTCTGTCTAGAACAAAACTAAAAACTCCACTTTAATACAATAACATGCATACCGGGGGAGTTAAAAACAATATTAGCGTTGCAATTAGCACAATTAACTATTTGTTTGGCTGGCTTCAATTTTAAAATGTTATTATAAAAATGCAAAAATATTTTTGGTGCATAAAAAGTTTCACAAAAAATACATGGTTCCCAGGCGAGTCTATATAAAAAGTTGTAATCTCTACTGGTTTGTTTGTATATACGATCATAATTCATGAACCCCTTGACGGATTTGCCTCAAATTTTGATTGGGGAACCCGGGAGACCAACGGAAATTTTCTTAGCAATTGTTGATGACACAAAATGCTAAATGAACTTTTCAAATACATTCAGCTCTTTGGTATTATAAGTAATATTTTCAACATTAATACAGTTTTCTACACTTAAACAAAATGAATTATAATAAGAAAAGCGAGGTAGTAAAAAAGGCAGTTTTTCAATGTGTAAAATAGCACGAAAATCAATGAGCCTAAATATTTTGTGAAGTAAGCATTAACCTAAATGTTGCTCATCAAATTCACGTGGGGGAGAGGGGCTTGATCGGCTTGGCGATCCATTGAAAGCAAAATTCGCAGTCCTAAAAAATCTCCCAATAACGTCAATTATTTTAGGGTTTTTATACGTTGTACAATGTTTATCAATATTTTGTCATACTGTTTTCAATTTCATGATGACTCTAAATTTCAAAAATTGCGTATGTTACTTCACATCATCAAAGTTCGTTATACAAATTCATCGTCAGCAATTATACTAATTATGCCGACGAATATTTGGATGACGCAAGCGTATATCGGGTATTTCTACTGCGTACATTTCAACTTATAAATTATTTATAAACTCGTCATATTCACGTCAATTAGGAGACACTTATTTAGGGTCGCATTAGTATCCGTGTCAATTAATAATACCATGAAATTATGAACATTTAAGGGCTCGCATTTTGTACTTTTAATGTATTTGCGAGTATTTTTAATAATTTATGGTGCATTGAAAGAGGTTTTTGCTCCCATGGCAACTATTTCGCGGATTTGTTTTGTGTATGTCTTCGTGGATAAGTTCAAAGCAAGAATACGAATGTAAAGAAATTCAAGAGTTTTCAATTCGCATGGAGACGGATTCCAAACTTAAAAACCAACTTCTCTTTAAGAGATGAAAAAATATTTTATGAAGAACTTTAAGTATCAACCTACACCTCACTTAATTTTTGTCATCATTATCTTCTATCAAAAAAAGTTTTAACACATTTTCAAAAAATTGAAATTATACCACTCATACCACTAACACAGAAAACACGCAAAATTTTATATCCATATTTACAATTAAAAAAAAATAAATATGTTCAACTATGGGGGTTCTACTGAAATTACTTGTAAAGGAAACTAAATTAATTCTTTAAAAAATATAAACTTGAAAAACGACAATATCTTCCAGATTAGATCAATGTTTCAAGGTCCCTTTCTTAATCGGACATTGCCATCTTTGCATGCATATAGGCTGACGAAGTTATGCTTATAGTCCCTTTAATAATAAATATTTTTATAGAGCAATTTCTTGTAATAAACAAAATTAACTCACATTTTAAATAATTTATTTTATTTTGTAAATATTACAATTGAGCAGATCTAGTTTTCACATTTTTAATTTATCTCATATATTTACAAGGATTTTTACATATACAGTTAATTAATCTAATAAAACCAAAAATAATCTTAACAGAGATATTACCCCCCTCTCTGGTTACGAATACTTCATTCTCTGGTTCAAGGCGTACAAAAAAAACCTTCATTGTCACTTTAGATTTAAAAATATAAGTTTCGTTTTTGTTTAAATTTCATTTTTCTGGACTATTTTAAAAAAGATTTTCCTTAAAATTATTAATTTTTAGATCTTTATTTTCAAAATGATAATGCTTTATAAAGTAGGTAAAGTGAAAGAAAGAACAAGCCAGAATAATAGTTTAGCATAATTTCAAAGTCCCAACTTTAACCCTCACTTTTAGGATTTACTACAATTTTTGTTATCTCACTGAAAAAGTCAAGATTCAATTTTTAAAGTAATTCCCCCCCCCCCCCCNTATCCCTCCATTGTGATCAGATAAGTCGGTCCTGGTTCCCCTCCTCTCCACTACTATAACCTGCTAGAGATATAAAATCTCCCAGGTTTCCAACCGGAGCTCTCGTCCTAGGAGCCTCGTCCTCACTCGTCTCCGCAATCTTCTCATACGGACCACTATCATTCAAACTTATATCCGGGTTCGGGTTCAGCTTCGGGTTAACTGAACTCTCCAAATCACTCCGGGTAGACTTCCAAACCTGTTTGGCCGTCTCCAGCTTCTTCAATATCCTTGCTCTCTTCTCCTCCAGTTCATCACAGGTTAGCTCCTGGGGTAGATTATCCCCTCCAACCGCATCCTCACATTGATCATCATAGTAGCGTGTAGTTACCCGAACCTTCTTCGTACTATGCTCCGCGGTACCTAGAGATTTTCGTTTAGGTTTGGTCGGAGGTTTCTTCTTAGGCGTCTTCTCTCCACTATCCACCGGTTTACTTATATGAGGAAACGGACATTTTGAATCCTTACTGCAGGAACCGGTTCTATCGAACTCAGGACATGCGATCACGTGACGCTGGTCGCAGTCTGCACCATTGGGACAAAATCCTTTCAGGAATCTCTGACAGACCCCAGCCTTATCACTTACCTAATCATACATAAATTAATTATTTGAAAAGTTTAAAAGTTTTAAAAACGGAAAAATAAGAGGATTACAATGTTTAAAGTTCTATTAATTCAATTCGATAAAATAACTTTTTCGAAAATCTACAAAACATGTCTGAATTGAAACTGACAAAGATAAAAAATTTAACAAAGCTATAAACAGTTAATTTTTAAATTTAAGGTATAAAACTTTCTTAGGCATCAATGTCCGTATTTTATAAGGGAATAATATATTATATTTATTAACAACATTAAATAGATGTGAATATGAACGAGTTTAATGATCAAATCTTTTTAATTTTTTACCTTAACATGAAGATATGGACAGTTCTCTCTGGTACAGATCCCTTCTAGGAAGAATTTACAAGCTGGCATCTTCTCCGGGTCCAGTTTATGAGACAACAGACATCGTTCCTTCGTACAAGCTCCTTGAAGGAACCTTCGACACACCGCAATCTTCTCCGGGTCGTGCATATACGGACATGATCCTTTCTCTTTCTTTGTGCACTTACCGAACTTATTGTAGAACATGCAGTACTGTTTACTCCGGTTCTGAACCTTCAGGATCGTGTTTATACTCCGGTTCTTTGCCTGGGTTATTGACTGTCTAGTGAGGGAATGCCGGCTACGTGTAAAAACTCCAGGTTCGATTTCATCAAACTCTTCTCCTCCGATATAAGTTTTCTTAACCTGGAACTGACGGGGACTTCCTTTTACAGGACTAGGTTGGAGTTTTTGCTTGACAGGAGAACCATTAAGAAGAGCTGGACTACGACCCCCGGGACTAGACTGAACTCCGGGACTTGTATTACAACCTGGACTTGTGGTCTGAGATTGTCCAGGACTGGTATGACTAACAGAAGCGCTGTAGTTTGCAGATTGTGAATCTGACTCAGGAACACGTTTTAACTTTCTTCCATTCTCCGCCACAGCAAACTTAACACCTTGCAGTGTAATCACCTTGTTGGGAGCTATATTAGCGTTGATTGCGGCTGCTTTGGGACGATAAATATTCACGCTCCGGGTCCTGGTAGATGATCTCTCTGAACCCACACGCTGGAGTTTAGTAGCGCTGACATGGTAGGTTCCAGTGCTGAGTTTCTTCAACTTGGTCTGACTTGTCTTCCTGGCCAACTGCTTTCCTTTCTTCTCTCGTCGATCTAGACGAAACGGGTTGGCAAAGCTAGATTTTTTCACAACAGGACTCTTAGATTTGACCGAGAAAGCCTGACTCACAAGCTTGTTTTTCCGGATCGAGAGCGGGGTAATAAAGCTAAATCTGTACTTGGAGTTGTTGGTAGGAGTATTCTTTACGGATTTAACTATCTTGGTTTTAGTTTTAATTGCATAAACCTTCATTGGGGTTGATTTATCCGAGGTTAAACTTTCTCTTATCCGAATTAGTTTATTGTTACCGATGCGCTTGAATGAGGGTTTAGGAGTACCCGGAGAAAGAGATTTCTTCTTAACCCTGATCAGTTTTCTGTTCCCGATCTTCTTAAATGCAGTTTTTCGGAGCGGGGTGAAAAGGAAATTCTTCTTTGAAGACGAGGGAAGATTTTCTTTTTCTTCTGTTTTCCTAAGAGGTGTGGCAAAGTTGTGAGGTAGAGTTGAAATATTATCCACAACATAAACAGAGTTACGCTTCGGTTTCTCAACAACGGAGTAACGGTTCGGTTTCTCTACTATAGAATATCGGTTCGGTTTCTCAACTATGGAATGGCGGACGGGTTTCTCCGGTGGCGCAACACGATTGTCCTTTTTAAATTTGTTTCTCATGATTACTTGAGATTCCACAGATTTATGAATACTCTGCATAAACTCATCTGTTTTCCTTTGATCCAGCGCCATCCTAGGGTTCACGTTGGCGTAGATAGGTTCAGTAGTGGATACAGGTAGAGTTGTCGAAACCAATACTTGAGCAGGGACGGGTGCCGGGACCGGAGTAGGGATGGAAACCGGAGCAGATTGAGTTAGCTCCAGGATGTTCTGGTAAACAGGTACACTGGGTAGAGGACGGTTTGCGAACTTAGGATTCACGTGAACACTATTCAGTTTATCCTTACTAGGACTGACAGGAGGAGACAGTTTAAACTTCGGGTTAATATGAACTGAGGGAGGTCTACTACTAGATGAGAAGTGTGGATTGATCGCAATGGTTTGCTTTGTATCCTGAGGGTAGTGATGGAACTTGGGATTAATGTGAACACTAGGTTTAGTTTGGGATTTGAAGTTGGGATTAATATGAGGTTTGGGAATATTGTCAGGACTGGTTATATTCTGGAGGAAATCTTCATGTCCCTGGAAATAGTTAAATTATTACTTTGACAATCAATAAAACTATATTTTAAAAAGTTAAGATTCACGATTTGTACTGAAAAGTGTGGATTTTTTAAGCGGTCAATGAGAAAAATAATTACAATGTGTCCCAAGAAACCTGATAGTAGCAAGATAAATTGATAGTCTTTGATCTTTGAAGACATCTGTGGAATTTATCGAAGCCCCAATTTTTAAAGTAAAAGTCTAGAGTTAATGACGACAAAATACTCCTCGTATTGGTATTTTCAAAAAGTGGGTCTGCCTTTCTTGTGCGTTTAATATTACCGGAGATATGATGAATTTTGTTATAATTTCGACGATTTTTTTTGATTTAATAGTAATCTGAACTAAGTACTCAATATCTCCAGTAATATTGACAACGCAAAAAGGCAGACCACATTTTGGAAATGTTGGGACTCGAGAATCTTGTGGTTAGTGTTTGAAAAACATACATTTGAAAGTTGACTACTTAATGTTACAAATAAATTCAAAGTTTTAAGGCGACTTTCAAGCCGTCTTGCTACTCACATAAGACGTTTTCTTTTAACAGTTTTGAAAAGCAGTTTTTAATAGAAAGATACCTGGGTCGGGGTTCCTGAATACTGAATATAGTATGCATTATTCTGAGAGAAATCATTTGAATTCATCTCCAAAACTTCTGAAAAACAATGAACATTTAGATGATCTAATTTGGGGTCCGTCCTAGTAAGCGATTTTGGGTCCGTCCTAGAGAACGATTTTTGGACCCCGTACCCTCCTATCATTTTTGCACATAACTTTTTCAACAATTTTCAATTGAATTAGTATTTATTTTGGGTTCTTGGTTAGGTTAGGTTAATATACTTTCTGGGCCGAGCGCTGCGGCTAGGACAGGCTAGGGGCCGAGCGCTGCGGTCACGGGTTAGGTTAAGGTATGACACTTTCTGGGCCGAGCGCTGCGGCCACATGTCTTATATTTAATTGAAAATTGTTGAAAAAGTCATGAACAAAATTGATAGGAGGGGGGGTCAAAAGATAGTTCTTCAGGAAATTACCACGATTTTTGACCCTCCCCCCCCCCATCAATTTTGTTCATGACCAACTAATTTTGGCAAAATAATTATCATTTACTTTTAATTATTTTAGGGTTAGATTAAGACAACTTCCAGGTCGAGCGCTGCGGCTAGTACATGCAATTTATGAATGATCAAAATTTCAAATGTTTGTCTCCATCAAAATTCGATCTTCATTAAATTTTTTAAAATTTTGAAAATCCACGAATTTTTTTGTGAAAATCCGCAAATTATTTTTGTTTTGTTTTACGATGAACATAAAGAAAACCATGCTCACAATTAATTGAGAAGATGGGCGCGAAGCGCCCTCTAAGGCTAGTATATTTATAAATTTGGTTTGTCTGTTTGTTTGTATCCAATAAACGCGGTCAAAACGGCTGAACCGATCGGACCCAAATTTATTGTGGGACATCACGTGACCACAGGGAAGGTTTATGAATGATAAAAAAAATTTTAAAATGTGTTTTAAAGGTTTTAAATTAAAATTTTTGAAAATCCGCGAATTTTTTAAAAAATCCGCAAAATATTTTTCATCTTTGTTTTGAAATGTAAACAAAAAGAACATGTTCACAATTTAAATAGAAGATGGGCGCGAAGCGCCCTAAAAGCCTATAAAGAAGGGCACGAAGTATGCCAAAAGTTTCCATTATTATTATTCTAGGTACGCTGTAATTTTAGAATTTGTAGAGTTACTTAAATTCAAGAATTATTAATCTTTATAAGGATACATTTATTTATTTATTTATGAATACATTAAACACTTTTACAGTGTAAAAACTACAAAGCACATATTACATAATAAGCTGATTTACAAAGAGTATTTGCTTCAGAACAACATCGATTACGTAAATGATTTTAATGGATCCCACTGTACGGGGACACATTTAATAGTTTAGGTTTGAAATATCAAAGGTTTACATGATCAGGTTTCAAAGATATAGGGATTAGAAAATTTAACTTTGTGGCAAAAACTCAATTCCTTTCTCAAAAATATGAAAACTATAATTTTAAAATATTTCTTAGCAGATATATTAAATCTCTGTGTATGTGTATTTATATTAATAAAGGAAAGGCTCCAATAGAAAGCAGCATGGAAAGCAGTTTTATATGCGAGCCCGGCCAGGGTTGTATATAGTCTCCAACAACTACAAAATAGTAGAGTCAGGGAATATCTTTAAAATAAACAGATTCAGTAAATGATTAAAATATTTTCAATATTTTGACTGGAAGATAATACATTATTGGTTTATTATGTAAACGTTGATACTTGTTGCAAGAACCAGCTGTTCATGCAGTTCTAATACTAACCCGGAGATATCTATCCTGCAGTTCTAATACTAACCTGGAGAACAGATATCCATCCTGCAGTTCTAATACTAACCCGGAGATATTTAATGCTAACCTGGAGAGCATGCAAACACAAATATTAATCCTGCAGCTCTTATCCTAAACTGAAGAACAGATATCCACCCTGCAGTTCTAATACTAACCCGGAGATATCCATCCTGCATTTTTAATACTAACCTGGAGAATATATAGAAATATTCAACCTGCAGTTCTAATACTAACACGGAGAACATCCATCCATCCTGCAGTTATAAAACTAACCTGGAGAACAAATATCCATCCCACCGATATGAATAATTCGTAAGAACCTTTTAGTTTAAAGCCCATAAAATTTACTGCTACCTTGCCTTAAACTCTTACTTTTTAATATTTTAAACTTTTCCATATAGTTTATACTTTGAAAAAAAATAAGTTTTAGATATCGAAAGTATTCGACACCAGGTTTTACAGATATAAGAATGATAAATTGAGTTTAAGTCGAGTAATAAGTTCATTAAATATTCATTTTGCTAGACTATACAGGGATTTAATTTCTCTTCTCATTTCTTTTATATGATAATGATGAAGCTTACTGCACGCTTGGTTTGAGAAACAGAAAGCATTTTTTCATTTGAAGTCCATTGTAAAATCCATTGAATTATTTTTAAAATCTTTTTAATGTACAGGGTTAATTACAAAGGATGAGACTTCAGAGACTATTGTAAGGATTGAAAAGGTTTAGTCCGTTTTCTTGCATTAAGGGTTCGTTTTGGTCAAAACTGGTTTACTTCTGTGTTTAATCATTTAGTGCAGAACTATCAAAATACTCAATTGAATGCAAAAACCAAAAATCAAGCTTCAAATCTTATAATCTTAGAGTTTTGGTTCGTTTTTAAAGGCTCATTCTTTGTGGGTAACCCTGTATAATGTTTTTAGATCAGGAATTTATTTTCTAAATTGATTTTTTATAATTAGATAAAGCGCACTTATCAAAATTTATAAACGTTCTTGATTTTTTATTATTGCTTTTTTATTGTTTTTATAAATAATAAATATTATCTTTATAAAATATTTGACTTTTCTGCCTTTATTATATGTAATCAAAGAGAATAGAATATATTAGAGTGGAATTTACTAGAAAAAAGTGTAAAACGGCCATTTTGTTGCACTGTTTCCATACTGCAGGTGTACTTCACATATTTATGCTATAAAACCTTTTGGGCCCTGGAACATCATTTTATAGAAAATCTAAAATTAATGTTATAAAGAAAACCAAATTATGAAAACGGCTGGTTGCATAATTCACCAATGATCATTTCACAACTTTATGCCTTTCACTTTACAAACGATGATTTTCCGTTATAACTATAAATCAAATGATGTTTTTATTCACCTAATTCATTATAAAGTTTATTTAACAGCGTTAAAAAATTTGAAAATGAAATGAATAGTCTAGGGAACATACTGTATTAATGTACTCTACTGCATATAATTTGTGAACATTTACATGATTTGTACACTTTGAACTCCCTTTCAGGCTGAAAGGGACTGAAAAAAGTCATACCGAGAGATTCTCTAAATTCCCCTCTAATATATATTCTATTCTCTATGTATGTAATATATAAAGTAATAGATTAACATGCTAGTAGTTGGTCCATATTTGCGTAAAAGCATATACATAATTTTGATTTACAATAAATAATTAAGTTATTATTGTGTCAAGAAGCAGTGGCAGCTACAGTGGGCGTAACTATGACCGATGGGCGTATGAGCAGGCCGCCTCTAATGGTTCTTTAGCCGACACGCCCATCAACAGATTACAGCACAAGTTCTGGGTCGCTAAACAGGTAGGTTTTAGTCTTCAAGATTTAAAGAAAGGAAATAAGTCTTTGAAGCAAATTCTTTGCAGTCCAGTGTACTGTGATCTTGCCAGGCTACATTTGGGCATATCATGTCCTGTGTCGAAATTTCACTGGGTAATCCAGACTGGATAGTATGACTGAATGCATATACAGTACATGGTGAACCAGCTGGGATAATGCAACGTTTACAGTTGGGTGAGTGTCCTAGATCTTGATATTTCAAACTATAAATCCTGTTAGAACAAATAATCTAAGTTGGAAATATCAAAGGTTTACACTAGGTTGCAAAGATTTGAGTTTGTTGCATAGACTTAATTCCTTAGCCATAAAGATAATGTTACATTCCGCTCTGTAAAATGAAAACAAAATTTGTTTTTATTGGGACTGTTGTTGTTACTTTAAGTAAATTTGTTTTCATTGGGACTGTTGTTGTTACTTCAAGTAAATTTGTTTTCAATGGAACTGTTTTGTTATTTCAAGTAAATTTGTTTTCATTGGGACTGTTGTTGTTACTTCAAGTAAATTTGTTTTCATTGGGACTGTTATTGTTACTTCAAGTAAACCTTTATTAAAAGAGTGCTATGTCCAATTCACAACGAAACAAAAAACAAAAAAAATTAAATTGTTAAAAAGAAATGTTAAAAAATTAAATAATAATTAATTGATGCATGTCTCTTTAAAGAATTTTTAAAATATCCGTGCTTTTTTGTTTTTAACTTTTGAATGAAAAAAAACTTCGGATCAAACTCAAAATGGGGGCATTTATTTTTTTACAATTTGGGAATTTTTTATTTTCATATTTTTACAAATCACAATATTAAGCGATACATTTATGATAATGAGTTCTATCATCCAACCAATTTTAGAGAATAAAGATAAATAGTTGAATTTCGTATCCCTTAGTCTGAATTTATAGAATTTGAGCCGCCTTTCAAATTTTGTTGGTTCCACTTAAATTTGTATTAAATTTTTCAAGATTTAAGCTGGCGCTCAATTGAAACCGGTTTTTAGGGGATTTTAGATGCGGCTTAAATTCATTAAATTCGGACACTGATTAACCAACTTCTCTTGAACTTAAACCGGCGCACCAAAGATGAAGTTCATCTTAGTCTGCCGAGTTCTTAATTACTTTATTCTTCAAAGGAATTGAGTCTTTGCTACAAACTCGAATTTTCTAATCCTTATATCTTTGCCACCAAATATTGAGCAGACCTTTGATATTTAAAACTATGAATTCTGTTAGATCAGACAATCTAAGTTTGAAATATCAAATATGTACACAATCAGGTTGCAAAGATATAGGAATTCTAAATTTTGAGTTTGTGGCAAAAACTCAATTTCTTTGTTCTCTGAAAATATATATATTCTTATATTTAAAATATTGTAGAAAGTTAGTAAAAAGCTTGGTAAGGAGGAGGATCAACATATTGTTGCAAGCGATAGTGAATTAGATGCTAAACTAGAACTTTTCAAGTAAGTTGGATTTTATTAAAAAATATTTTGATAAAATATAAAAAAAAATTTTTGATTTTAAAATTGAAGTTAGGAATTGTCTTTTTAAAATATTCTAAAACTTTTGATTTTTTTTTCTTTTAAAAATCTTTTAAGTGTATTCAGAGATTAAAACTTTTATTACAGTGAAACCCAGATATATGAATACATAATGTTGTACTCTCAACATATTTAAGATCAAATGCCGCGGAAAAATTAATTTAATATATCAATTGCTGTCCTTTTATAGTTCAGAGCTATTAATTTACCTTGAATTAAAAATAAAAAGCAGTTTCTTAAGAATTATCAAAAAATTTATGACTCTACAATGATATTTGGATATATTTTCAAAAATCCTATTCAACCCTTTGAAGCTGCGAACAACAGCTTTCTATTTGCGCAGACCAATGATGAAACATTACAGCTGTCATTAACTTTTAATTAAATTTAAAGACGACATCTCATGCGCTAGCTTGTTATGTATTTATATATGTGAGATGGACTGTATCTAAGAGCATTCTTTTATTTTTAATCTGTGGACACAAGGCGAAACTTGTTAGTTTTTATATGAGGTAGAGGGTGTCCCACGAAACATGACAGTTGGAGAATAGATTTTGAAAGTATTCTTCCATGTACAATATTAGATATTAAAAACTTTTTGCAGTTTATATCATTAAAATTTTTTTAACTCAAATATATTTACTTTATTTGTTATTCTCTTTAGTTTCAAAGAACGTAACAAATTATGGCAGTAGATATTTAAAACTATTCACCAATTGTCATGTTTCCTGGGACACCTGTACGAGATATATCCATGGATATATCCAATTACTAATTTTCTGTATTTTAGATCTTTAAATGAGACGATATATATCCATGTACTAATTTTCTGTATTTTAGATCTATAAATGAGACGATATATATATCCATGTACTAATTTTCTGTATTCTAGATCTATAAATGAGACGATATATATATCCATGTACTAATTTTCTGAATTTTAGATCTATAAATGAGACGATATATATCTGCATGTTCTAATTTTCTGAATTCTAGATCTATAAATGAGACGACTTGTAGACTTCAAAGATTAATAGAACGCTACCAGGATCGAATATATTGTAAGTAAACATTTTAAAAACTTGAAAATAATTGTTCAATATTTAAATTTTTTTAGTTTTGGCTGGAGAAGAGAATGCGCTTGGTCGATTTTTAAAGGTATGAAAATATTCTATATGTGATATATTGAAATCTGTTCAATATCTAAGCTTACACCAACGGAAAAAGATTAAAAAGAAACATCGTAGTAATTTCAACGTCTGATTGACAATACTTCAAACCTATAAAATGTGGGAAATCCTGCGGGGAGATTGAATAGGAAAAACATTACAGTTCTGTAATAAAAATATTTTCAACAGATAAATAATAGTATGTTCGTCAGAATAAATTTTCAGAAGTCAAAACTACATCTGTGTTTTGAATGTTTGGATCAAGCATTGATCTCCATGTTATGCAGATCTAATTATTTATTTAATTCCTCTTCGATATCTCATGATGGTCATACCCTGCAGGGATAGCTTAATTAAGGGATCAAGCATTGATCCTTAAATTTAAGAGTGCCCACATTGGATATCGAGATGAAGCGTTCAAGATTAACAATAAACAAAGAAAAGCTCCGGCCTATGATTTATTAATATAAATATTCCTGTATTAAAGGAGGAGGGGAAGAGAGATAAAACCCGAGCTGGGAAAATGATGGTGGCGGCAGGGAAAACAATGTCATATACAGGTAAACAAACCAAACCAAACCAAATTAACCCCCACCAACCAAACCAAACCAAATCAAACCCCACCAACCAAACCAAACCAATCCAAATTTACCAAACCAAACCAAACCAAGACAATATTAAACCAAAACAAGTCAAATTAAATCAAATCTATTCTAACCTAAAAAAGCCTAACTGAGATAACCTAAAAACTATATGTACATAGCCAATTCTGACAATTACAGAAGAAAAAAAACTATAGAAATACGATAAACAAGTCAAAAAAAATATCTTTCCTGATTTTTACTTGAAAACCCATTATACATTAGCAATACAAACCTTAAAATTGATTGAGCCAATTTTAAAAAGATAAATTATAAATCATTTATTTTATCAGGACAACAGAGGCTGGCAATACGGGTTCCCCTGGTTCGACTTTATCAGGTTAAAAAGAAAAAAATAGGTCAAAAAAAAATGATGAAATAACCCATCTCTTAAAAGTACTAAATATTTTCGTTAAAAGTCTGTTCAATCATTCAATTTGTTTGATTTTGATCAATGTTTACTTTTAATTTGTCTGAAACTAAAGTATTTTTAAGCATAAAAAGATTTTTTAGATTTTTTTTATAAAATAATCATGATTTCAGGAGGTAGAAACATTCAGATTAAGAGCAATTGAAGATATGAGGTTAATTTAGAATTTCTATTTACTATTTTTGTGAAAGGAATTGAGTTTTTACCACAAACTCTGATTTTCTAATCCCTATATCTTTACAGCCCGATATCAAGTAGCGTAAATTTGAAAAATTAAAGGCTTATACATTCAGGTTGTGAAGATTTAGGAATTAGAAAATATCTGTTTAATCTGATTAATAGCCACAAACTTAAATTTTCCAATCCCTTTGATTTTTCAATGATGGTGCAATTCTTTGATATTTAAAACTTAGACTATTTGATCTAACAGGACTCATAGATTGCAATAACATTATTATTAAGATTTAGAGATTAAAGTTCGAGTGTTCAGTTTATTTTGCAGGTTTACAGTTGATACGATGGAGAAGGTTAGGACGGAGTATAGAGGAGCTCTGCTCTGGATGAGAAATGTTTCAACAGAGTTGGATCCGGATACTTTCAGACAACTAGAGAAGTTCAGGAAGGTTCAGGTAGATCTACAGTGAGAACCAGAAAACTCTAGAAAAGGAAGACGACATTTAGACTCAAGTTACAACTTTAAATAGTCCAATTAACATGAGACACAGCAATTATGCAGTGTAAACAGACCTATTTCATTTAAAAAGTGATTTAATAGAAAAAATATTTGCTTTGTAACAACATCAATTGTACTTTAGTATTGCTTTGATGTCGTCTTCCTATTCTACAGTTCTCTGGTTTTCACTGTAACTTACCTATTAACTACAGTGAGAACCAGCAAACTGTGGAAGACGACAAGAAATCAATAATCATGAATGTATTTGATGTTGTTACAAAGCAAACTGTGGAAGACGACAAGAAATCAATAACCATGAATGTATTTGATGTTGTTACAAAGCAAACTGTGGAAGACGACAAGAAATCAATAATCGTGAATGTATTTGATGTTGTTACAAAGCAAACTGTGGAAGACGACAAGAAATCAATAACCATGAATGTATTTGATGTTGTTACAAAGTAAACTGTGGAAGACGACAAGAAATCAATAATCGTGAATGTATTTGATGTTGTTACAAAGTAAACTGTTAAGGACGACAAGAAATCAATAATCATGAATGTATTTGATGTTGTTTCAAAGCAAAAAGTTTTACAAGTAACTTGTATAATAAAATGGGTCTGTCTACAGTGTAAAATTGCTCTGTCTTAAATGTTCATTGGAATATTAAAAATCATAACTTCAGTCTAAAAGTCGTCTTCCTATTCCAGATTTTTATGGTTCTTACGGTTTAAATCATATATTTAAAAAAACATACTTTAAAGTTACATTTATCGTAATTCTAAAATATCTTGTTTTTGTGCCCCAACGATTATCAATATAAATTAGTTGAAATATCTTTGATTTTCTATTCAAAAGTAGAAATATATTTATTCTATAGAGAAATCTGAAATATTATATAATATCAATATTAAATATATTCAACATGCATATAATTAATAGATCCATGTACGAGACAGTAAGAAAAGGTTTGACAAGCTTGCTGTTGATTGTTTACAGAAGATTGATCTTCTAGCAGCCTCCAGGTACAGATTGATCTTCTAGCAGCCTCCAGGTACAGATTTATCTACTACCAGCCTCCAGGTACAGATTTATCTACTACCAGCCTCCAGGTACACATTGATCTACAAGCAGCCTCCAGGTACAGATTTATCTACTACCAGCCTCCAGGTACAGATTGATCTACTACCAGCCTCCAGGTACAGATTGATCTTCTACCAGCGTCCAGGTACAGATTGATCTACTAGAAGCCTCCAGGTACAGATTAATCTAGCAGCCATCAGGTACAGAATGAATTCTTAATGGCCTCCAGGTACAGATTGATCTAACAGCTTCCAGGTACAGATTTTGCTTACTGGTATTATCAGATTCACAAATTAATAATCTAATTTAATTCCCGTGTTCTTCCATGTTCTGATTATGTACACTGTACAGGTGTAACATGTTCTCCCATGCTCTAACTATGAACACTGTACAGGTGTAACATGTTCTCCCATGCTCTCATCATGTACCAGAACACCTTGGTTATCTTTTGGGATAAAACAGCGAAGACGATGAATCACGTTAACAACGGATTTAAGGTAAAATATTGTACGCGGCAAACCAGGGTTTGAAGTGTTTTCAATCATAGATGAATAGTAATACAGTTTTTTATTTATTTTTTAATCTTGCAATTAAACTACATTTTCTGTTTTTCTCTCTATTATAACACTTGTTCAAATTCATTCTAAACTTTAGTTACGACCTGCCATGTTACCAAACTACACACTGCACAATGTACAAACAGGGTTACCAACAAAGGGATGCGACTAAAATGACGACCAAAAATTCTTTAAATATGATGATTTGAATTTTAGATTTGATCTTCTGTCTTTGATTTAGCTTTTAAATTGTTTATTGAATGGCCTGGTAAAGAAAGAATCTCGTTTTATACTGCAAGGGTGCATGAAATGCAAATGGAGGAAAAGAATCAAAAAAAATATGTACAGTCGTTTCTGAAGTCATATCCTTTGTGTATCCTGGAGATTATGCAACTGCGGGGGAATAAATATTCTACGGGGCATTGTTTACTTTATTATATCGGATATATAACTTATAATCTAGTTTATTCTTATTTCTTCAATGTTTAAATAACATTTATTTAAATTACTGTTATAATTTACCTCTATTATTTTTAGGGCTACCAGCATTACGAGTTCAGCTATATCAAGGACCTGGCTGAGCCGAGCAGAGAGTTGGCCACCAGCCAGAGGAACAAGGATAAAGAGCAGGAGGAGTTCAACGAGGAACTACAGGGGTAAATAAAATCATTTATTTAATTATTAACTGAAAAGAAACCATTTTATTTTTCTCTGTGATTCCAGGAAAATAAAATTTTACGCTTAAAAATCCATCCAAATTCAATTCCTAGTAATATCTATATATAAAGTTCTAATCTCTGTTTGTCTGTCTGTTTGTTTGTTTGTCCGATCAATACTCAAAAACCCCTGGACCGATTTGCCTCAAATTTTGATTTGGGAACTCGGAAAACCCACGGGAATGTTCTTAGCTTGGTTTTGAGATTCCAAGTCTAGTGGGTCGACTTCGAAAGCGAACATTTATTTTCCTGGTAAAATCGTTCAAGTGCGGGTAAACGGCGGGACTAACTTTTAGTAACCTGGGAGCGCTGGGTTCCCAAGCTAGTTTATAATAAAGGGACTGAGTTCAAATTTTCTATTGGTGTAAACCTTTGACATTTCCAACTATTTTATCAATTATAATTTATAGCTTGCAAAGGTCTAAAGCATTGGGTTGCACAGATATAGGGATAAGAAAATCAAAAGTTTGTGGCAAAAACTCATTTCCTTTCAGAGGAAAAAGCGAAACAGAAACGGTTTATTTCTTTATTAGCTTTGAATTCGGAAGGTGGATCCGAATCCAGGGAGCTAAATGTGTGTTCGGATTGGTTCGGATTGGTTTGGATTGTAAACACCGATTTCTACGTACAGAAATATCTTCTGAAAAGATTATTGTTTTTTTTTTAATTGAAAAAGAAATGTTTTTATTTTTATTTCAGTAATCTTGTGGACCTTGAGCAAAAGAAAACTAATTCATCCTCAACCAGGTAAAATATATATTTTTGTTACATCTGAGAATAAATATATCTTGAAGTATATAGACACAGAATAAGATTCCATTTATTTGTTGTAAACATTGTTTTGTGTATATGAATATTGTAAAAAGTAAGTAGTAAGTAGGATTATACCATCTATATATAAATTTGGCTTGTCTGTCTGTTTGTTTGTCTGTTTGTTTGTTTGTTTGTATCCAATAAACGTCAAAACCCTTTAAATCGTGAAAATAGATTAATTCGGTAAAGGAATTGAGTTTCTGTCACAAACTTAAATTTTCTAATTCCTATATCTTTGCAACCAAGTATCGTAGACCTCTGATATTTCAAACTATAAATTATGTTTAATAAGAAAGTCTAAGTTTGAAATATTAAAGGTTTACACCAACAGGTTGCGAAGATATAAGGATTAGAAATTTTGACTTTGTGACAAAAACTCACTACCTTTCCTTAATTTTTTTTCCATCCAAAATCCTAAAAAGCTAAACCGCAATTGAATTTTATCAAATAATATAATGAGATAAACAGATTGAAAAACAAGGATATCTCAATTCAAGGGTAAATTGGTGGCTGGATCCTCCTCCCTCGTATATTGATCTTTTTAATTGATCTTATCTTATTGTATTGATCTTTCAGTGAGAAGACAAGAAAGGATAGAGCGGAGGAGAAGAATCGGAGAAGAATCAAGAACGGGAGTATGCAAAACCTTCTGGATCTATCTTCACAGGTTTTATATTTAAGGATTTAAAACAAAATTTATAAATATTTTCTTATCAAGAACACTGCAGTGGTGAGCATATACACGAATACAGTGTTGGTTAATATAATGCATTTTTAGTACCTGGTAAACCATTGGTATATACCTGGTAAACCATTGGTATATACCAGACTATTGCTACTTATATAATAAATGTTATACTGTAATAACAAACATGTTTGTCTCTATTAGAATCACCATTATATTAAATGATTTTGTAATGCTATATTTGGTGACCACGGTATTTGCAGGGTTTAGGTTCAGCTCCGACCCTGGATGACGATGACGAGATCCTTCTCCGTATTGACTCGGAGCTAGAGCAGGCTGCAGGTCAACCTGTTGAAACCAGTCTAGGAGATATAGAGAAAATATTCTCAGAAAGTGAGTTGAAAAAAAGGAAGGAAAAAATTCCCGTCTTTCTTTGATAAAAAAGATGAAACAAAATTCTTATTCATCTTGGACTCAGCTATCTTTTTATATTTAACTGACGTCGTCTTTGGATTTTTTATTTCTGTGCATTACAATTTAAAGTCGTCTTCATTATTGTAAATATTCTATCCTTGCTGTGTTTCCTAATATAGTATGCATATATTAACAATTGCCGAAAATTTTGCAAATTTAGGTAAATTGAAGAGAGGTTCAGAGGATGATGATTTACTCAATCTAGGTCCTCAATCTCAGGTAATTATATTACGGTTTCTCAGAAAATATAATTTCGATTTTTACCTGTGACAAAGGTAAAACAAAACAACTCTAGTTCTCACACTTTCTATTTGAAGACTCCAGTTCTCCTACTTTCTATCTGTACGATCCAGTTCTCCTACTATCCATCTGTAAACTCCAGATCTCCTACTTTCTATCTGTAAACTCCAGTTCTCACACTTTCTATCTGTAAACTCCAGATCTCCTACTTTCTATCTGTACGATCCAGTTCTCCTACTTTCTATCTGTACGATCCAATTCTCCTATTTTGTATCTGTACGATCCAATTCTCCTACTTTGTATCTGTACGATCCAGTTCTCCTACTTTCTATCTGTAGACTCGAGTTCTCCTACTTTCTATTTTTAGACTCCAGTTCTCCTACTTTCTATTTGTAGACTCCAGTTCTCCTACTTTCTATCTGTAAACTCCAGTTCTTCTACTTCCTATCTGTAAACTCCAGATCTCCTACTTTCTATCTGTAGACTCCAGTTCTCCTACTTTCTATCTGTAAACTCCAGTTCTTCTACTTCCTATCTGTAAACTCCAGATCTCCTAATTTTTTATCTGTAGACTCCAGTTCTCACACTTTCTATCTGTAGTTTTTCAGGCATATTAGTAAAAATGATTAGATAAAAAACAATTTTAACGGTTATTTCAGGTCATTTATTCAATTCTATTTTTGTTGTGTCTTTCATCCCTTGATGCTTTTATTTCATATCATAAATTTCCTTGGGGGGGGGCAGGCCCCACCCCTTCCAGGAGCTCAGGGTGGGGCCCGTGAGCCCAGGTCCCCCTTTAATACGCACCTTTGCTTAATAATAGTTTGATGATGATGAATATATTAAACAAAGAAAGGAACTTAACACAAATATTTTTCATCCACATAACTTTGCGACCCAAAGTTTAAACTTTTGATATTCAAACTTTTGCCAATAGCTCGAGCAGAATATATAGTTTAAAATATAAAAGATCTACAACATCCGGCTGCAAAGATATATAAGGATTAGAAAAGTAGTCTTGATCGAGGCAAATGTTAATTATTCAGTTTCTAAAATTAAGACAAATTGTTAAGAATTCTCTGGATAGTTTGCTAGCTGATGGTCAATCTATTTGTTTAGGATTCTCTAGATAGTTTGCTAGCTGATGGCCAGTCTATTTCTTTAGGATTCTCTGGATAGTTTGCTAACTGATGGTCAGTCTATTTGTTTAGGATTCTCTGGATAGTTTGCTAGCTGATGGTCAGTCTATTTCTTTAGGATTCTCTGGATAGTTTGCTAGCTGATGGTCAATCTATTTGTTTAGGATTCTCTAGATAGTTTGCTAGCTGATGGTCAGTCTATTTCTTTAGGATTCTCTGGATAGTTTGCTAGCTGATGGTCAGTCTATTTGTTTAGGATTCTCTAGATAGTTTGCTAGTTGATGGTCAATCTATTTGTTTAGGATTCTCTGGATAGTTTGCTAGCTGATGGTCAGTCTATTTGTTTAGGATTCTCTACATAGTTTGCTAGCTGAGGGTCAATCTATTTGTATAGGATTCTCTGGATAGTTTGCTAGCTGATGGTCAATCTGGAACCTTTACCCAGGAGTGGGAGCAACATCTCTTCTCCCAGAGAAAACAGAGTGATGGATTCTCCGAGTTTGTCTCCGACAGAGCAGGATCAAGCTCCAGATTCCTTCCGTCCCAACTCTTCGACCTAGAATCAGGTATTGGATTAAACGGACATGTAAGCGCAATTTCAAAAGCGTTATCTGATCAAGTATAAGAACTATATATTCATGTTTTTGGTCCGATTAAGGTTACTTAAGGGATCCGTAGTAAATCGGGCATTGCCTTTTTTCTAAGCTACTGATTTTAAATAAAGGAGCTGATTACTTGTCTCTAACTCTAGTTTTTTTTTTTGCAAGCTGATGTCATAGTTTTTTGATATTTTAAACAACGAATTCTAACTATCTATAAAATAAAGTTTTAATCTCTATTTTTCTGTTTGTCTGTTTTGCTTGTCCTATCAAAATTTAGGAACCCCTGGTTTAATTGGGGAACTCGGTATGACCACAGGAATGTTCTTAGTCTGTTTTTAAGTTGAGTGATTCGACTTTTATAGCGAAAAATTTCCGGGAAAATCGACTATGAGTATGGGTAAACGGCGGGCCGCAGGATTAACTATGTGTATCCTGGACAGCGCCGGGTTCCCAAGTAAAAGCATAAATTGATCATTCTATTTAGGAACTTCAGATATCAGCCTTCTCGATCTAACCAAACCAAACCCTCCAGTTCACCCTGCAGATCCGTACAGCAGGCTTCAACAAGGCCAATCAAACCAGATCTTCCAAACGGGTTTAGGAACTGCAGCTTCTGCCACCAAAACCGGTTCTGCCTCATCACGTGATAAGGACATCGCACAATGGTTCAGTTTGTTTGCAGAACTTGATCCGCTCTCCAACCCAGACAATGTGGGACAGAGAGCTAACAAGGATTGTCTCTAAACCCTGGAAAAGATATGGTTTGAAAGAATCAAACCTTACATAATAATATTTTAAAGAAAATGTATTTTAACCATGTTTTGCAGTGTTATAGCCAAGGTTAGTATATGCAGTGACGTCATCAAATAGATTTTTAGTCTAATTGCTTTGAAAAAGAGATTCCCATTGTCAGCGGAGTGCATTAAAATTGTCGAATATGTACTATACAACCTTGGTGGTAACCAATGTAAGCCTGAGACAGAATTTAAAGAATTTGAGTCGCGGCTTAAATTTAAGCTTAAATTCAACTGAAACCGGCTTTTGGGGGATTGGAGACGCGGCTCAAATTCATTAAACTCGGACTCTGAATAATTGTCCTCTCCTTTTTTTGCTCTCGGTTAGAAATGGCGCAAAGTATTTTTTTAATTTTGACAACAAAACTTAGCCAATGGAATTTCTAAGGGAAAAAATGGAGAGGAAAATAAATTCGAATTAAATTGGTAATTTATACGATACCACTGCAGAATCTCAACGCAATCGCATAATTAAGCTTTTTATTCATCTTTTTCATATTTATAAGTTGGTTGTTATTTCTTTATACATTTCATATTTGTATCTAACTGCATTTAATTTTAGATAAAATTCTAAAAGTTACAGTATTTTTTGCATTCAACGCTTTAATAAAAAAAATGTTTAAAAGATTTTTTTCCATAATCTTACTTTTAAGTTTAAGGCGACGGGGGAGAGGAAGAAGAATTTCCTCTTTTACTATTATTATTATTATTAAAATTGGTGTCATTATTACAGTATTATTTCTAATTCCAATATTTATCTATAAACTGTTGTAAATTACAATCCTGTCTCCGCAGTATTAATATCAGGGTTAGATGAATTGAATTTTCTACCCTGGAGCAATTCTTTCTCATCAATTATTCGTCTGAATCCTGAAAGCATAGTTATAATTTATATACAGGGTTATCCACAAACAAAGAGAATAGAAAATATATTAGAGTGGAATTTAGACAATCCCACAGTATGAATTTTTTCAGTCCCTTTCAGCCTGAAAGGGAGTTCAAAGTGTACAAATCATGTAAATGTTAACAAATTGTATGTAGTAGAGTACATTAATACAGTATGATCCCTAGACTATCCATTTCAATTTCCATTTTTTTAAAGCTGTTAAATAAACTTTATAAAATGAATTAGGTGAATAAAAAACTTCATTTGATTCATAGTTATAGCGGAAAATCATCGTTTGTAAAGTGAAAGGCATAGAGTATGTGAAATGATCATGGTCAATTATGAAACCAGCCTATTTCATAATTTGGTTTTCTTTTGAAATTAATTTTAGATTTTCTGTAAAATGATGTTCCAGGGCCCAAAAGGTTATATAGCGCAATATGTGAAGTACACCTGCACTATGGAACAGTACAACAAAATGGCCGTTTTACACTTATTTCTAGTAAATTCCACTCTAATATATTTTCTATTCTCTTTACCCACAAAGGATGATACTTCAGAGACGACACTACCAAATATAACATCCGGATCTTCTAATTATAAAAGAGTTGACGGTCGTCATTAAATTCTCATACTTTGTGGTTGACCCTGCAGATATAGGATTACAGATAGCTCGCTTTTGTATGAACACTACAGATGCAAACAAAATAAAATTTTCTCAAGTCTTAATCCTTAGTTCTTTGTACAAGAGATTCGAAGAATAACACAAAAACTGATTTCTCTCTTGGCCACACAAACAGAGAATTTCAAATCTACTTTGCAGAAACATTGAATAGGAATAACAAGCAGTTAAAAAATAAAAGAATTGCTTCTTTTCACCTTTAAATTTTTAGAAAATTTTCTGATATTTTTTAGTTGTTTTTCTCATGTTTCTAGTTTCTACGAACCTATCTTTTTCTACATCATTCCACCCGTCACATATTCTTTTTTTCATGCCATTTTCTATTTTTATTGTCTGGAGTTGAACCCTCAGGGAGCACTGCAGTAAACATGAGAATTAAGTTAAACTTTTTATTAGTATTTTTTTTAACCTTTGAAGAGTGACATATTTAATTATTGTATGACTTAAAGGGGGTGTGAGCGTAATTTCAAGTGACCCACGGGCAGTCGTTGAATTTCCGAGCCGGGTCAACCTTTCCGGTCCCAGTTTGTACTGTATCGGCTGGACATTGGATAAATAAAGCAGACACTCAATAGGACTAGCCGGTGCAACAAGGTTGACGCGGTCAGGCTTTAGGTTGCATCTATACTTTTACTAGAGGGTCAGGGGTGCGTGGACCCTCCATGAAGAGATGGCAATGCCCCTGATTTACTCCGGTAGTATTGAAACCTTTTTCTGATCAATAATATGGGAGATAAGTCATTTTTGTAGAGAAACCAAAATGTAAAACAATCATTTTTCCAATTATAAACATGGATATCTAATTATTTAATCCTTGATCAGACAAATCTTTCAACTATAAAGTGAACAGTTGTAAATCTGGCATTGGCATCTTTGAATGGAGGATCTCTCGTAATTACATTACAGTCCCTTTAACAGCCTGATAAAAAATGAACAATCTCCTTTGAATCTTGAAAATTAAAAGTAATTTGAAATTTGATTATTCCCGGTTTTGTGTCGACTGTATAGATGACTTAAATTGACTAAATTGTCAATTAAAAATATTCCTTTCTCAATTAATCTAAATTGTATTTATAGTGTTCACTGTTCACTGTAACAAGACTAATGCGATAACAGATTAGGTTTACAGATGCATGCCGCGTTGATTAAAGACGATGATAGATTTAATTTGTCAATAATGTCTCATGTTTTTGGAACTCCCTGTAGATGGTAGATCCTTAAACGTGATGCACGCGCCTCATGGTTCTGCATGGCTACATGCGCATACTGGAGAAAGTATTCTCAATCCTTCTCTCCATAGAGTAGAGATATAAACAGAGCTCTCAGGAACATAGAGTAGAGTTATATACAGAGCTATCTCGGGAACATAGAGTTGGGATATATACAGAGATCTCAGGAACATAGAGTCGAGAAATATACAGAGATATCAGGAACATAGAGTAGAGAACCACACATAAATCTCAGGAACATTAAGAAGTGAATATAGCAGTACAAGATACATAGAGTATATAAATATGCAGATCTCTCATACAGAAACATGGAGTAAGTAAATATGAAGAGATCTCAGGAACATCGAGTAGGGAAATATACAGAGATCTTAGGAACAGAGTTTAGAGAAATATAGAGAGATCTCAGGAACATAGGGTAGAAAAATATACAGATATCTCAGGAACATAGAGTAGAGAAACATAAGAGATCTCAGGAACATAGAGTAGAGAATTATACAGAGATCTAAGGAACATAGAGTAAGGAAATATACAGAGATGCGTTTTGATTATGGAGGAATCTGTTTGTTAATTGACGATTCCGCAATTCGTTATTTACGATTCTATCACAGAAAAGAAAAAAACTACAAATAATATTTAACAAAAAAGTATGAAAAGAATTAGAATTTAAGAGAAAAGTAAGAGAGAAAGAAAACTGACAGATTTGTGGGAGTGTGTTAATTAGAAAGTTTTGAGATGTGAATTTATTATATATTATATATTATATATATATACTTCTATCTTCAGCTTGGATTCATTATACAGATATGATTTTACATAGAGACACATGCCAACTTTATTCTAATATTCTAACTCTCACTTGAGTCTCTAGTCTCTAGCTCAAATAAATCTTAAACTCATTCCATATACTTTTATATTTAAAATTACTTTTCAATTTGTTGTAGACATCCACCAATCGTTTTTAAAGAAAGCTGCATATTTTATCAAATAATATGAAACATACTCTTAAACCTTATGGTCTGGAAACTCTTGAAACTTATAAACCTGGAGTAAATATGTTTACTCCAGGTTTATAAGATTCAAGAGTATATTACTCCAGGTTTATAAGATTCAAGGGTATGCTTACTCCAGGTTTATAAGATTTAAGAGTATGTTTACTCTAGGTTATAAGATTCAAAAATTTATTTACTCCAGGTTTATAACATTCAAGAGTATGTTACACCAGGCTTATAAGATTCAAGAATATATTTACGTCAGGTTTATAACACTCAAGACTATGTTACACCAGGTTTATAAGATTCAAGAGTATGTTTACTCCAGGTTCATAAGATTCAAACATATATTTACTCCAGGTTTATAACATTTAAGATATGTTACACCAGGTTTATAAGATTCAAGAATATATTTACTCCAGGTTTATAACATTCAAGAGTATGTTACTCCAGGTTTATAACATTCAAGAGTATGTTACACCATGTTTATAAGATTCAAATCTTATAAACCTGGAGTAAGTATATTTTCGATCCTTATAAACCTGGAGTAAACATACTCTTAAATCTTATAAACCTGGAGTAAACATACTCTTAAATCTTATAAACCTGGAGTAAATATATTTTCGAATCTTATAAACCTACTCTTAAATCTTATAAACCTGGAGTAAACATACTCTTGAATCTTATAAACCTGGATTAAACATACTCTTGAATCTAATAAACCTGGAGTAAATATATTTTCGAATCTTATAAACATACTCTTAACTCTTATAAACCTGGAGTAAACATACTCTTAACTCTTATAAACCTGGAGTAAAATACTCTTGAATCTAATAAACCTGGAGTAAACATATTCTTGAATTTTATAAACCTGGTGTAACATACTCTTGAATCTTCTAAACCTGAAGTAAACATATTCTTGAAACTGTTCCATACAGTCTCTAAAAGACTTTAAGAATATGATTTTCAGTCCCGTTGATGCTAGTTATGTTTTTTAACTGTTTCAAACAGTGCTATTATTGTACAGTGGTAGGCGATTATATAAATACTATGAAAACGACTTTTTTATTAAAGTTTTAATTGTTAATACGCTTTTTTCGAATTACAAGTTTACAAGTAATCAAAGAGAAGCTTTTAAATTGACAGATTCTCCATGACTTCTATTTTGATGTATATCCATGTGCTGTTTAACAGCTTTATATAAACCAAAATTTAAATCAAAAGTCGTCTTCATTGTATTAATATAAACGCTTACCACTGTAGGTAACATTTAGAGACATGGACACTGATAAGGAACTGTAAG